ATTTTTTTGCGTCTTTTGTAGCTGATTTCGTTTTGTGTATTTTCTGTTTTGTGTTTTTTTTTTTTGGATTATGTATATATAATTTGATTGTGTGTAGTATATATTTGTCATCTATATAAAATTATGGAAGTAGTTATTTTCAATTTTGTTTTAATTTTTTTAAGTATAAAAGTCTTAAATTAATTAACTTTTTATCATGTTAACAGCTTTAAGGGTATTTCAGACATTTTGATAAAAAAAAGTGTTTACCAATACTTATTTGCCAAACACATCAACAACTTTTTTTTAACTGCAACACTTTTATTCAAACGCATAACAACTTATTTTAAAAACAAGTTTCAGCACTTTAAAAAGTTACTTTTTAAAGTTATTCTTTTTAAGCCAATCCAAATGGGCTAAACAATACACATGTTGTCTTTTTATAGATGACATACTTAATTACTTATTTTATTAATTTTTAAATATATATTTTTTCAATTTACTTTTTTCTTTCTCGTTCTTTTTCACCTTATTCTTCCTTTCTTTTTCTTTCTTACTTTCTCATTGAGTTCTACGTGAACTACTCCTAAATGTGACTTTTTCCACATATTTTTTTCTTCTTTTGTTTTTTGGTTTTAAGTCTTTTCTTGTTTATATGTTTTTCTTTGACAAAAAGATGGGTGTTTAATTCACCCACTTCATTTTTGTTATCAAAGAAGATTATTAGTTCAAAAAACTATAAGAGAAGAAGTTGAATTCCACTAAAAGATTGTCGAGAAGGAGTTGCTCGGATAGTAAACACCTCTCACTTTCAATCCAAAGATTGCGAGTGGGGTTTAACTTTTGATTAAGTTTTCGAAAAAGCATTATGGGTGTAGGAGTTGTTAGTTCAGTGTGAAAAATTGAGGTTTGTAAATAGAGTATTGGAACCTATTTTCATTAAAAAAAAAAAGAATAAGAAAACGGGAGATGATTTTTTTCTTCTTTATATATAAAAAGACAAAGGAATTAGTCAGTGTTTTCAAAAACATTTTTAGGGCGAGTTCCTAGTGAGTCTCAGGGTGGGGTATAGAAAAAATGCTCCGGTGTGCAAATTGAAGACGTATATTCATAGGGCGTAAGTCTTAGAATCGGGGCATAAGCTCCAAGCATAAAAACGTAAGCGCTGGGCGATTTTTTTAAAAACCTTTTTTGAACTTTTTTGCTTTAAATCACATTTTTTTATGGTGTAATGGTATTTCTCAAATAGCAATTGTAATACTTTTCTTCATTATTGTTCATTAATACCTTTCTCAAATAAAAATCATAATATTTTTTTTCCATATATTATAGGTTATTTATTAAAATTTATTTGTAAAATAATTGAAAGTTCTACTTTTTCTTATTTTCTTAGTAATAAATTATAAAATTGACGCCCCGTGTCTCAGGGCTTACGTCTCATTCCGTACTACATAAAACATCTCGATTCACGCCCCCACCTTTTATAACATTGGAATTAGTTAAAGGTTGTGTGAATGAATGAAAACGTGCATGCTTAACAACACCTAGCCTTCAACTAGGCTGGTGATGGGAGGGTTGGAAAAAATCACTTGAAAAATGTTAAGGGGATATTTAAATGGTTGTGTAGTTAAGTGTTAAAGTAAGTTGTGCTGCCAAGCTCATGGTTTTTTGTTATGTGTTTCTCAAATAATTAAGGTTGTCAAATCTAGCCATGGAGGAGAATGCTATTGTAGATACGATTCATTGAGTGAACAACATTCAAAATCTTTTGCAAAATATTTGACAAAGTTTAAAATTATACCTCCATACACCATGTGAGAAACTCTAAATTAAAACAGTATAGCTGAGAGAGTAAATCAAACTCTTAAGGATATGGTAAGAAGTATGATTAAACATCCTTCTTTACGTGAATCGCTTTGGCGCAAAGCGTTACAAATTGTAATGTACATATTAAAATAGAGTTCCAAGCAAAGAAATAGCTAAGACCCGTATAAATTTTAGATTGGTAAAAAACCTATTATTAGACACTTATATGTCTAAGAATGTCCAGCCAAGAGGAGGCCTTATAAAACCTAATAAAAAGAAATCAAATTAAATGCTACTTTGTAAGTTGCTCAAAAATATTGAAGGGTTTTAAATTTTACGTCCCCTCAATCGTATCTTTTTTTAAACAGAACATGTCTAATTAATTGATGATGTTGGTTATGATAGAAGCAATGAAAGCAAACAAATTTGTGTTTGAAGAGAAATTTAATAATATTTCTTCTACTAGTGAAAATAATAAGGTGACTTTATCAAATGCTTTTTAAATTGACATTTTCCAATAATCTCAAGTTGAAGTACCTAAAAGAAGATCTTGCATAAAAAAGAGAAATGCAAATTTGGACGACCATTTTATTTATCTCCAAGAACATGATTTTGACATGGGATTAGAAGGTTATCCTATAACTGATAGTCTAGATATAAAGCACGCCAAGTTGTCAATGGATCACTCAAAAGGAAGCATAGATTTTGAAGATAATTTTTTTGTCAGTTCCATTGAAAGATTCTTTTAGAATCATTACGGCACTTGTAGCTTATTACTCCATCTGTCCCTAATTACTTGTTCATTTTTGAATTGACATACATCTTAAGAAAACAATGATTGACATAGTGAGTTTACCATTTTATTCCTATTAATTATGAAGTGGTTGAATTAAAAATTTGAGATTTTCAAAAAGTTTTACCTTTTTCATAGTAATTAATTGAGGATATAATAGGTAAAAAAATTGTTCTTTCTTGATTTGTCAAAATAGACAAATAATTAGGGACAACTATAAAAAAAATGGACAAGTCATTGGGGACATAGGGAGTATGACTTAAAGCTACAATAAATGAGCGTAAAATATGGAGACACTGAAGAAACGGTATCCATGGTGCAATCGAAAATTTTTGAGTCTCAAAATTTAAAGCACATTGTAGGTAAACTTAAAAGATCAATATAAGATTTAAAATAGGCATTATGTCAATGATATAAAAAATTTGATCAGGTGATAAATCGTTTTTGTTTTTAAGATCAATGCATATATCCCAAGTTCAATAAATATAATTTTATTATTATTGTGTTGTATGTAGATGACATTCTATTGAAAAGCAGTGATGTAAGTTTATCGCATTAAATCAAGAAGCTATCCAAAAAAAATTGAAATGAAAGATCTTGATGACGCGTCCTTTGTGCAAGAATCATTTTCGAAAATGACAAAAAAAACTATAAATCATAACAAATTAACAATTTAAAATATTTTTGAAAAGCATACAAAAAATTAATTGGCTCTCCAAATTTAATATATATCACATAAATTGAGACATAAAGCAACTTTCGAATTCACATATAACAAACATAAAAATCATATTTGTATGTTATAGCTATAATTTGCATAATTGCGCTCCATAGCAAAATTTATGTTTGCTATGGAGCTTTTGATTTGTATAATTCGCTACAAACATTCAATTTTATACAAATTATTCGGTTTTGTATAAATTCATTTATACATTGTAATTTGTATAATAAGATCTGTATTTATATAATTATAAGTGTATAGGATGAAAATATATGTATTTGTATATACACTTTTCTCTCGCTTTATACAAACAAAAACGCATTTTATACCGAAATGTATAAAATGACTAATTGTATACCGAAAATGGTTAATTATATATCGAATCAGATGACAAAAAAATTAGATGTTTGCTGCGAATTACAATTAAAATAAACTATGACTATAACATATAATTTGAATTAATAGTTTGTTATTTCATACAATTTTCCCAAAAATAACATATATTGGGCCCGTACTGGCATGTACACCAATATATATATATATATATATATATATATATATATTTGGATCGATTAATGGTCAAAATCAAAACCAAACCAACATAATTGGTGTTTAAATTCTCAAAACCACACCAAATCAAATCAAATATAATATACATTTATCGGTTTGATTGTTATCAGACCCTATTCAATTAGGTTCGGTTATTCGATTATTAACCATTTACAAAAATAAAAGAAACGATCCTTTCACAAAGGGGAAAAGTGACAACAATCCACTCAAAACAAAAAACAGTTAGAACGACTAACATTATAAAACTTTCGACCACTAAATTTACTATGACTAAAGCTACAAAATTCACCACTTTGGACTAGAAGGAAGAGACAATGACATTTCTAGTCCCACCAATAATTGTCACACACTTGTATACATGAAACCAATAAGACAAATGTTCTCGTCTTGGACATATTTGCTTTCATAAATCGATTAAAAATAAATTTGATGAAAACATATATAAGATCTTTAACATTGTTTATAAAAATAGTATATCATGTATGTATAATTTTAAAATATATGTAAATAATTTATCAGTTCGATTTGATTTTGTTATTCCATTGATTTTTTTCGAACAAAACAAAAATCAAAGGACATACTATCAATTTTTAAAAATCTAAAATCAAACTCAAATAAAATTGATTTATTTAATCGATTTAGTTTGAATTTGCCTAATTATAGGAAAGAATAAACATGAATAGAAAGAGTAGTAGTATATACTCCCTTTGTCCTTAATTACTTGTCTACTTTTCCTTTTCTAGTTGTCCTAATTACTTGTTCAAGAAAAGGACATATTTTTTTTCTTCCTATTATACCCTCAATTAATTACTTTGAAAAAGATATAACTTTTTGAAAATCTTAGGTTTTTAATTCATCACTTCATAATTAATAGAGGATAAACTCGTTGTGTCAATTATTGTTTTCTTAATTAATGTGTCAATTTAAAAGCGCACAAGTAATTATTATTTTCTTAATTAATGTGTCAATTTAAAAGTGCACATATAATTATTATTTTCTTAATGAATATGTAAATTTAAAAATGTACAAGTAATTAGGGAGAGAAGAAATCATAAAATAGAATCAAGCAAAAGACTTAGACAATTAATTAGTTGGCATAGAGAAGAGGAAGTATGATATGAAAAGAAAAGCGAATTAGCTCTACTTTCTATGAGAGGATAGTTTTTGTGGGATTAATTGTGACTTCACTGACTGACTATCATTTCATTTGTAAAAGCAAAAAAAAGGTGAAGAAGAAGAAAGATGAGAAAACGCCGGCAAACAGTTGAGATGCCTCCTCAGTTCTTCAAGATTATCTTATCTCCTCATGCCTCTAAATTAGTAAGTTCATCCATGCAATTCAATTTTCTACTTTTTTTGGTGAAGGACTGTACAATCTGTAGAGGTTATCTAATTTATAAACCCCCAAATTAGGAATTATCAATTTCGCTGTATTCCATACCATTTTCTAACTTGTTATCTTCGTATGCCATTGCAATTTATTTTTGGTAATATCCTACAGCATATCCCTGATGAATTTGTAATCAAGTATGGAGCCGATCTGCGTGATGTTGTGTTCCTTGAGGTCCCCACCGGAGCAATCTGGCAAGTTAAATTATTGCAAAATTCAAATGGCACCAAATGGCTCAACCACGGATGGAACCATTTTAAGGAATACTATTCAATTGCTATCGGTTACTTTTTACTCTTTCAATATAATGGAAACTCTCATTTCTCTGTTTTCATATTTGATTTAAGTGCTTCTGAGATTGAATATCTTTCTGGACCAAATGAAGATAATAATAATAATAATAATGCAAAAGTAGCACATCCAGTATCCCGCCCTAATTGTCTAGCAGAAAGGCAGGAGGTGAAGCTTGAGAAACCAGATGTGGAGGAGGATTTGACCTATGCAACACAAAAACATAAAAAGAAGGAGAAGAATTTGTACAATGGTATGAGTACTGTTTAAAATATCTTGTGGTATAAATTATATTGATGCCAATAACTTTCTGCTTACTTTCCTGTCTTTCCCAGAGCACTGCAATGAAGTACTACATCCTAACACTACCAAATACAATAAAAGGAAATATTCTCTCAATTTGGAGGCATCACATCGTAGGTATCCTCTACGAAGTAAACAGGTCAAACTTGAACAATCTAAAGCAAATGGGAGTCCTTCATATTCTGGAAAACAAAGACCTGCCACTTCACTATCCTTTCCAGGTATTCAGTCAGAAAGAAAAGAGTCTACCAGGGTGAAGCTTGAGAAAGCAAACTCGGAAGAGGATTTCTGTTGTGCTCTGCCAAAAGCAAAAAGGGGGGAGGGTAACATGGAGAAACTTGTAAAACAAGATAGGCAACATAATATGTTTGATGAAGCACATAAATTTAAAGGTATTTGGTTTTAATATTTGTGCCACTCTCCTTGATGTTGTCGGTTCAGTAACAAAACAACATTCCTTTGTTAGACTAATTACGTTAAATTATGTGACGATGGATGCCATTCTTTTATGCTCCTCCCACGCCATCCTTTTGGCAGGGCACTGCAATGAAGCACCAGTAGTGGATCCCTCAACATCGAAGATGACAACCACTAATCAGCATAGTAAAAAGAGAACTGCTACCAGTTTAGATGCATCAAATTGTCGATATCCACTACGAAGTAAGCAACTGAAAGATGTAAAGATTGAAAAAGGAGATGTGGAAGGTATTTGGTTCAGTAACATGTTCTTTGTGAGTTTCATCATGTTGAATTATGTTATGACGGATGCTATTCCTCTTTTATTCTCCTCCCACATCATCCTTTTGGCAGGGCGCTGCAATGAAGCACCGGTAGTGGATCCGTCAACATCTAAGGTTACAACCACTAATCAGCATAGTAAAAAAAGAACTGCTGCCAGTTTGGATGCATCAAATTGTCGGTATCCACTACGAAGTAAGCAACTGAAAGAGGTGAAGATTGAAAAAGGAGATGTGAAAGGTATTTGGTTCAGTAACTTGTTCTTTGTGTTGAATTATGTTATGATGGATGACATTTTTCTTCTTCCTCCCATTCCCGCTTCATCTTTTTTGCAGAGCACTGCAACAAAATACCAGTGGTGGATCCCTCAGCAACTAAGATGACAACCACTCCCCGACATCATGAAAAGAAAACTAGTGCCTGTTTGGATACGTCACATTGTAAGTATCCACTGCGAAACAAGCAACTGAAAGAGGTGAAGCTTGAAAAAACAAACGCAGAAGAGGATTTGCTTTATGTAGCACAAAAAGCAATGAGGAAGAAGGCTAATAATGTGAAGCTTGAGAAAGGAGATGTGGAAGGTAACTTGTTTAGTTAACTTGTTCTTTGTTAGACTCATCACGTTCAACTATGTTATGATGGGTGACAGTTTTTCTTCCTTTATTTTCCCGGACCCCTCCCGTGTCTTTTTTTGGCAGAGCGCAGCAAAGCAGGGGATCCCTCAGCATCTACTACCACTAATCAACATAATGAAAAGAAAACTACTACCCCTTTGGATGCATCACATTGCAGGTATCCACTACGAAGTAAGCAACACATAGAGGTGAAGCTTGAACTATGGGAAACAGGAGGGAATATGCATAACAAAACACCGAAAAATAAAGTAGTAGCAGATTCTCCATATTGTATTAGACAAAACCTTGGCCTTCCAGCATCCTCGTCAAGTTATCAGCCAGTCAGGGTGAAGCTTGAAAAACCAGACAATTTGTTTTGTGCAGCAGAAAAAGTAAAAGGGAGGGAGACCAACAATGTGAAGCTTGACACAGGAGACTTGGAAGGGAATTTGATTGCTGCATCTTATAAAGGAAAAGGTATGACATTCCATTTTTTACGGTTATCTCTCATGGATAATACTTGTTTAGTAACAAGAGAATCTTACGCCATTGAATTATAAGAGATTCTTTGGTCTTGTCTTTCTCTCAGATTCCACAGCCTCTGAGATGACAGTACTTGGCAAGAAAAAAATGTTTCCCTCGGAGAAGCACAATCGGGATATGTACTTCAATCCACACTTCACTGTTTCTATGCAGCCTACTTGTGTCTCTAGAAACTTCCAATTGGTAAGTTGTCAAGTCAAGAGATGTTGCATTCACTGTCTTTTGGTAGATGTCGAGTCCTACTGTCCTGAGGGGTCAAGTGCCCCTTTTCTTTTCTTTCTGTTAAAGGATGAAATTCAATAAAAGAGTAACAATTTGCAGGATATACCTGTTGAATTTTTCAAGAAATGTCTCAATGAAGAGGAAACCATTGTAAATCTACGAGTTTCTAATGGGAGAAGTTGGCGTGCAAAGTTGTTAGACATTCAATCAAATTGTCCAAAGATGGAATCATCAGGTTGGAGGGACTTTGTGCTCGACAACAATTTAAAAGAGCATGATACTTGTGTCTTTGAGCTGATTGACGGCATTGAGCCAATGCTAGATGTGACAATTTTCCGAGCCACAACTCCCGTTTCCTGAAAGATAGTCAAGTCACCCATTTTGCAAGCACTTAAGCTTTATATCCATGTTGAAGGTGTTGAGGATGTTATAATATTGTGTATTTTGGTGCCCTCTCCTTTTATTTGCTACTATTTCCTAAACGTCACTGTTAAAAACTTTCCTTTTCACCTCAAGCATGTTTACTTGTTTTTTTTTGGTTCATGCTGCTTTTTAAATTTCCATTGACTGCTGAAAGATTTCAGAATGTATAATTTAGAGAGCAAGTTTCAAATTTTAGTAGAGATTAGGTTGTCCAAACATTGATACATATTGAACTTGTGTGGATGTTTAGCTGGATAGTTTGTTGGAAATCAACATAAGGGATATTCAAGGTGACTTAGAATATTTGTGTCTTTGTTAACCAATATAAAAACATACATGATTTCATTAACATTTGGACCATTAGGTCACATTTGTTTGCACTTAATGAAGGTCTGAATCATTTAGACGGTATTCCATTAAAGTGCATTTGTTTTTTTTTAACTCCACCACTTAATAGATCTTAAGAGGTTTGATTCGCTCAGACCTATAGGCTATAATCAAGTTTGAACATCATTTAACGTTTTTTGGTTATTGAATCTGTAGTATTTTATAATAACTAGTGAACTTGACTGCATTGTATGCGGTTTTAGAATATTTCATGTAAAATTTAAATCAAATTGTTTTAAAAAAAGTTTCACCTGATTTGACAATATTTATTATGAAAATTGTATTTTGTTTCCACAAATTCACAATTTTTTTAAAAAAAATTCTACTTTTTATGTAATCTTTGTAACTCTTTTTATTTTTTTAAATATTTTGTTTCATAATGAGATCCGCATATCATGTAGAAAAAATAAAGATTTTCCTTTACTTGTATTAATTTAGAAATAATAAAATGCATGTTCAATAACTTTGGTAAATGTATAACGGAAAAGGATAAAAAATATCTTTAAACTATTTGAAATAGATCATATTTATCCTTAAACTATATTTCGGCTCAAAACTACCCTTCCCGTCAAACTATTGGGTCAAAAGTGTCCTTCTTATTAACGGAAGTTGTTAAATGCCACATGGATGCCACATTGCACGCCAATAGGATTCCACTGCCACTTAGACCAAACGGAAAAGGGTAAAAAATACCCTTAAACTATCCGAAATAACTCATATTTACCCTTAAACTATATTTCGGCTCAAAACTACCCTTTCCGTCAAACTATTGGATCAAAAATACCCTTCTTATTAACGGAAGTTGTTAAATGCCATGTGGATTCCACATTGAATGCCAATAGGGTTCCACTGCCACATAGACTAAATCCCTAAATCCTAGTTACTCTTTTTCCCCACCTCATTTCATTATTTTCCAGAAACGATTACACCCCTTCTCCCTCATTTCGCGGCTAGGGTTTCACAGTTTTCTTCGTGGCTGGGTTTCAAAGTGGATATTCGTGGTTGTAGGTTAGTAAATCTTTTTTCTTATTTTTTTTATGTTTACGATTTCAAAGCATGATAGTTAGGATTTCACAATTTTCCCCTCATTTCGCGGCTAGGATTTCATAGCTTTCTTCGGGGCTGGGTTTCAAAGTGGATATTCGTGGTTGTAGGTTATTAAATCTTTTTTCTTATTTTATTATGTTTACGATTTCAAAGCATGATAGTTAGGATTTCACAATTTTCCCCTAATTTCGCGGCTATAGTTTCATAGCTTTCTTTGGGGCAGGGTTTCAAAGTGGATATTCGTGGTTATAAACATAATAAAATAAGAAAAAAGATTTACTAACCTACAACCACGAATATCCACTTTGAAACCCAGCGACGAAGAAAACTGTGAAACCCTAGCCGCGAAATGAGGGAGAATAGGTGAAATCGTTTCTCGAAAATAATGAAATGAGGGGAAAAAGATTAATTAAGATTTAGAGATTTAGTCTATGTGAAAGTGGAACCTTATTGGCGTGCAATGTGGCATCCACATGACATTTAACAGTTTCCGTTAATAAGAAGGGCACTTTTGACCCAATAGTTTGACGGGAAGGGTAGTTTTGAGCCGAAATATAGTTTAAGGGTAAATATGAGCTATTTCTATTCAAGTATTAGAAGACATGTTGAGGGAATGTGTGATTGATTTTTGAGGGCATTGGGATAAGTTCTTACCTTTGTGTGAATTCTCCTATAATAATAGTTATCACTCCAGCACAAATTTGGCACCATTTGAGGCACTCTATGGGAGGGGATGTAGATCACCCATATGATAGTTTGAGGCTGAAGATATGAAACCGTTAGGGGTTGATTTAGTGAAGGATGCTCAAGATAAGGTGAAGAGTATTTAAGCTAAGCTTCTAGCATCCCAGAGTAGACAAAAGAAGTATGCGGATCATAAGGTAAGAGACATGACGTTTCAATCCGGTGAAAATGTTCTTCTTAAGGTGTCACCCATGAAAGGGGTGATGAGATTTGGTAAGAAGGGTAAGCTAAGTCCTAGATACATTGGTCCATTTGAAATTCTTGAATGTGTGGAACCGGTGGCGTATAGATTGGCTTTACCTCCTAATTTATCAAGTGTTCATCCGGTATTTCATGTATCCATGTTGAAGAAGTATCATGGTGACGGGGATTATATCATTAAGTGGGACTCAATTGTGTTAGTCAAGGACTTCCAATATGAGGAGGAACCGATTGCAATTCTTGATCGTGATGTGCGTATGTTGAGGAACAAAGAGATTAAGTCTGTGAAAGTCTAATGGAAGTATTGTCCAGTTGAAGAAGCTACTTGGGAGACCGAGAGGGACATGCGAGAGAAGTATCCCTAATTGTTCGTTGATTTATGTACTACTTCATTCTTTCCTTAGCCTACTTTTCCTAAATTTTGTCACTGGGGACGAGTGATGGGTAAATTGATATCTATTGTAACGACCCGTTCTCATCATTATAGAAAAGCCAATGGGGGAAAATTTGGGGCCGAAAAATATTTTCGTAGTATTTGGATTTTTCCAACCTTGTCTAGATTTGGATGGAATCGGAGTCAATGAGGTGTAGGTGAATCTGGTAACAATCAAGTGAATCATTTATGATTTTGATTACATGAGTAGTTAGATAACTCGTTAAGAAATCCATATGACTTTACATAATTGAATTCGAGCGAGTAGAATTCCCAGAATTGATCTTAGCGTAAAAGGTGTTTTCTGAGCGTCGTGGGTTAGAGGGGTGTTGTGAACTGGGAATTTTGGAATTATTGAAATAACTCTCTATTTCGTTTTAGCCGTTTTGGTGCTGGGTTTGGCCGCTCTGGCGGAACTGCTACTACGGAATTAGGGTCGCTGTGGTGGGTATGACGAGACTCAAAATCGTAGATAAAAGACGAATAGCTCACTGTTACGCGGAAGCTGCTGGGGCGGGGGTTCTGGTTGCTTTGGCGGGGCCGCTATAGCGGGGTGAGTGCCGTTGCAGCGGGACCGATGCGACTGAAAGTAGTAAATAAACCCGAAACGACCTTATTTGGCACTTTTCGACTTTTAGAGCTAAGAAACGACCCTCAGGCGACTCCTACTCGTTTTTCACCATTCTTGAGGCTAAATGTAAGCTTTTCACTCCCCGAATCCGTTTTTCGATCCGTAGAACGTAATAGAATGGGTGAATATTAATGGGGGAGGGTTTGGTTATAGATTCTATGGTGTAAACAACCCTAAATTGGATAATTGGGATCATGAGTTTGATCTAGGGTTCATATAATTGTTATAGTTTCAGGTAATTAGTGATTGTTTATTGATTTCCGTGCTATTATGATTATTTGTAAATCAAGAAAAAGCGGAACGAATCCAGAAGGGGAAAGATCAAGTTTCTTAGGGTTTCAAGCTTGTTTCGAGGTAGGTGATGGTTATGATTCTATGATTGGGTGATGTATGTTTGTTCTTGCTTCATTATGATACTTGTATATGTATGAATGTTGCAATGTTGATCACAGTTGTTGTAAATGAGATAGATAATTGATATCTGCCATGAAATCATGACTTAAATGTATGATCTTGATGATATACTTGTGATTGTGATTGTGGTGTATGAATGAGATCGGTTGCCACGTTTCGGCATAACTAACTTGGATCGGTTGCCACGTTTCGGCATAAAAATGGGATCGATTGCCACGTTTCGGCATAAATATGGGATCGATTGCCACATTTCAGCATGCTAACTGTTGAGTTTGGGTTCCATGAGAGGACCAATGATTTGACACAAGAATGTGAAATTGTTAGTTGTTCGTAAATGTTGATAATATTGTATATGTTGAGATATATGCATGTGATTATAATGTTGTTTGACTTGTTTATGTTGCTATAGTTGGATAGCCGCGTGATCCTACCAGTACACTGTGGTTGTGTACTGATTCTATACTAGCTCTTATTTTTGTTGAGTACAGGGCATCTTCAAGCGGCTATTGACAGACCTCGCTTAGAAAATCAATGACCGTTGCTTCGAATTCAAGGGTGAGCCAATTCTTCCGGGCTGCCACATAATTCTCTTTTGTCTATGTCCACCATTTTCGGACTTAGACATTTATTTTAGTTAGTTGATTAGTTCATTAGTTGGGGTTGTATCCCTTCTTGTTTAGACTTGGTTCATTGTTAGAATGTTTTGGTATATTGACTTTCAGGTTCTAGGTTTTTCTTCCGCATTGTTAGTTATTATTGTTAGACTTTTGTTAGAGTTTATGGAAACTCTATTTTTATTTCCTTAGTGTTTGATTTAAATGCCTTAGTTTTTAGATTATTTGCTTGGTTTTGGCTGTAGTAGTGGTTCTCCCACCGGAGTGTTAGTATGGGTGCCAATCACGACGGTCTGGTTGTGACATAACCAAACCAAACTGATATATTAGATATATAAATTTTATAATTTTTTTTATATATTATTCATAAATAAAATATAAATATTTTGTTAAATTTTAATTAACTTAAGTCTTTAACTTTATCATTTTCTCTCGGGAAAATTTTCAAAACAACAATATTTTAGCATTTAATAGGACCCCTTGTCAACACTTTCAATATTTATTTAAAATGTCAATATTTTGGTTTGTTATAATGCTGATTGTATTTATTTAATTTGAAAGAATACAAATTTTTAATGACAAAATGGAGAGAATCATGGGAGAAAATATTTCAAAAAGGGTAAAAATTTTCCTTAGTTTTTTATCCTTACTTGTTTGAACTTTTTAAAATATAATTTTATCTGAAATTTATTCGGATGAACTTCTTTAAATATGATTCTGTGTATTCGG